TCTTTTTCCTAATCTATATGACCTACCATGCATCCGTAAACACATTCAAAGTACGTGTGGTTAGTGCATTTGATGAGCAAACCTTTTTCTATTGATTTATGTTTCTGCTAATTCTGAATTGTTCGACTTTTTTTTGTCGTTAAGGTAAAACTTAACGAAAGGGTTATTTGTTCTGTGTCCACGCATGGATTGAAAACCGAAATTTAGCGTTATAATCCCTTAAATCTATCACCAAGCCACCGGTGAGCGATTGTTCGGTATGTTTGTTAACAAAGTGAGTTGAATAAAGGTAATCTTACATGTAGATCTTTCGTAACTGTCATCCGCTAATGGACATTTTTGTTCTTGTTGTTGCAAATCGCAAAGCTCACAATGGGCTATCTGTGCCGTGCAAATCGCGGGTATCAAAACCCGATTTTTAGCGTTATAAATTCTCAGACTTATTGCTGAGCCACCTGGGGTGGGTGGCAATGGACATTTTAAAACGTATACAAGTGTACTGTACCTTATCACATCACATTTTTTGTAAGAAAAAAATGTGAAAGATTTTGTACGATAGCAATGATTGACATAATATTTATAAAATATATTTATAACACATTTTTAAGTATATTTAAAATGTTCCGTTAGTATAAAACAAATAAATAAATTTCAACATACAGTACTTCGAGAGTATCTACCTAATGTTAGAACCAATATTTTAAGTATCGAATGGAATGATATTCGAAAAGAAAAAGTTATTATTGTTTATATTCTGATCATGTATTAGTTTTTACTCAGATATTATACCAAAGAAGTATAACATTTCATGAAACTTTAAATTTTTTCTTTCTTGAAAGCGAAAAAAAGTATTATCTATATTACGAGACAAGATGGCTTCAAGTTATATGTAAATATAGATATTAAAGTAATATCTTAAAAACTACCCGTCATCCTTCTATTCTTTTGAATAGCTACTGTCATTAGTTATGCACAAAATATTTAAGTAGTTTCAAACATATATTTATATTTACTTGTAAATGTCATAGAACAAAGTATAAATCCACTTGTAATAGGTTTGCATGATCAAATACACAGAATACCTACATAAACTTATCGTGTGATA